TAGTAAACATCTGTCTGGGGACGGGGAGACACCTCTTATCAACAAGGGGGCCTGAATGAAGCCTATCTGTATGCCTAACCCTTAACTGTACCCCATAATATCATAACAAAAAATATTGATTTAAAAAAAAAAAAAGAAGCACAAGTCTGCTAAGGCTGATTTCAGAGTTGTTTCCAAAATCCCAAACAGCCTCTCAAAATGTAAATGATCTGACTGCAGTCGCTGAAGAGCATGACTGCTACGTTGAGAAGCAGAGAACAGTTGGGAGAGGATGTCTGACTTGAGAGATGGGGCGGCCTGGGTAAGTCACTCAGTCCACCGAGTTTCACTCTCTCGCCTGTGAAATGGGGACGACGAAGTTATGTCTGTCTCCTGGGGCTGCTGTGAGCCTCACAGGTGCTAATTCTTACGGGAAGTGCTCAGAATGGTGCCTGGCACCCAGGAAGCGCTCAGCATCGCCTCACATGTAACTAAGAAGTCAATGGCATTTATATGCTGGGAAGTACACAACTCAAAATGAGAGCAAGAGCAAACTATTTTTTCTTTACTATCCTTCAATACAAGCCACATCTACCAAATTCTGACCCACTCCTGAAAAAAGAGAACCAGGAAAGCCAGACCTGCTTTGTGTGTGCTGAAACTCACGAAGGCAAGAACAGCCAAACAAGGACTCAGAAGGGGCCCGCACTGCCTCCCATGACCGGAGGTACCCTGACAGTCTTCCAACAAATCTCCTTCCCCCACAAGCAAATCTGAGTGGGCTTCTATCAGCTGAAACAAAAGTCCTGTGTTTTCCCCCGCTTTTATTATATATATATTAATCACAAAACGCGTTTTATTAAAAATCATAATCCTATGATATCCCAAATTTCCAAAACACAATCAGACCATTTAAATCAGCTTAGGAGTCCTGTTCATTACACATAAATGAGCCTGAGAAATTCAAATAAATCTTCATGAGTTAAAACAACTCCCTCTACTACCCACCACACACATATAAACCAACCTGCATCTGTGCCCACCTCGGTATTTTCCACCCCTCTGTAAGTCCACTTTGAGCTTCTGCAACTCTCTTCCTCCCTGACCTTTCTCATGTCTGCCTTGTTTTTTCTCTTGTACCCAAGCCCTCAAGGCTGAAGCCCCAGGACAGGGACACAGCCCTCGTCTCTTGGCCTGCTTTTTCAGGGCCAGCCCATCATTCCACTGTCGCCGGGCACCGCCAGCATGCTGCTTGGAGGTGAACTCCAGCGTCACCCCAAGCCCTCACCTGCGCTCTGGACTCTCAGGCCCCATCTCCCACAGCCTCCCCGCGTGTGGGTTTCACAGGCACCTCCACCCTCTCACACAGGAAGGGGAGCGTCCGGTCACAGCCGTCGCCCCTAAAACATCTATCTGCTTCTTTCTTCCTTGATGCTCTCCTCGGGGCGGGGCACGGCACGGCCTAAATGCCAAGCGAGAAGCCTGAACACCAGCCACATTCCTCATGCTCCTCACCCCACCCCAAGTCTGCCACGGCCATCCTCGAGACACACCTCGAAACCACCGACCCCTCCACTTTCACCGCGGTTGGCAGCTCCCGCCCTGGACTCCCAGGGGCTCCTTCCCAGGGGCTCCTTCGAGGGCAGCCTGTGTGAGGCTCTGTCTGCTCGCCTGTCCCGCGGCATGATCTGCCCGGCCTCTCTCCTGTTCTCGCTTCAAGGCACTTGTCAGTCACTGACCCCAAGTCACATTCAGCCTGCTCTTCCTCCAGAGGCTGCGTGTATGCTTCCCTGTGCTTCTGGCAAGGCCAAGTCACTCTTCTAAACCTCAGCTCGCGTGCAGCCTCCTCAGAGGCCAGCCACTCTTCAATGCAGCCTTCTCGGAGGCCCTTGCTGACCACCCTTCCGAGTCGATGTTGGTGTCGCGAGCCCGCTCGTTCTCTCTGTACTCATTTCCTGCAGTGACTTCACCACATGCCCCAGTCATTGGCTCAAATGTGGCCTGTCACCTTGTAAACCTCTCAGTGACCTTTCCCAGGAAGACACTGGCACTTTCCTTAGATTTCATCACCCTGGGAAGCGAGCAGCTCCGTGTAATGAGCACATCACTGAAAGTGAATTTCTGGAGGGAAGGGACATTTTTCTCTCTCTCTAACCCCAGCACCCAGCCTGATGTTGAAGGAACTACGCTTACCACTTCCCAACACCGACTCTTAATTCACACGAAGCGTATATTCTCGATGGGGTCAATGTCACAGCCAAAGAACAAAAATTGGCTCCGGGGGTGGGGTCACTACTAGATGACAGTGATTTTTAGTCCTGATTCTCAAGTTCAATCCTACTCCTCAAAGCACTATTCTTTAGTATTTAATTTCTCTTCTTCGAGAGAAACTGAACTGACTCTGATTTATTTTCCTCCCTAGGGAATCGAGAAATGGTTGCGGCCAAGGAAAAGGCCTGAGCGCGCTGACTACAGCCTTTCTCTCCACCTCCCTCCCCTTTCTGATGCCCATGTCACTGCTCTCAGCTGGGACCACCGTCTCCCCGAGGACTCCTATCTCTGAAACCTCAGGTAAATTTTACAGCATCGGCCATTGCCTTGCTAAGCTATGGTGTGGCCATGTGCTCTTTGAGCTATGGCTGCTGCCATGTTTCTTAAGCTTTGGCCCCCTCCCCTATCTTGGGGAGGTGAATCTCCTCTCTTTCTCTCTCATTTACTTTCTAAATCAACTATATTTCCTAACCTAAAAAAAGAAAAAATTTATGGCCTCTATGAAGCTGCATCTTCTAGGCCTCATGCCTTGCTCCTGTCTTCAGCAGCCCATAGCACTTAAACTTAGGGGTCTGGATCAAAAAATCCACATAATTATGCACTAATTCAATCATCCTTTAATGAATTCAAACACGTTCCTCTCTTTTCTGCCACAATTTAAGTTGCCTGAAGGCAGAAGCCCGAATAAAGCGCTGACGTCCTACATCAGACCTGACACAGAAGACTGCTGACTATTATCTTAAGTAGAGATTCTCATTAATGGAGCTTTCCTTAAGCAGGGTCACCCAAAATGTTAACACACAAAAGCAAATGGTAACAGTGAATCCAGTTAAGCGTAACAGCAACAGACAAAAATCAGTAAGGACAGGAAGACCATGTAGGTGTGGAGGGAGACCCAAATAAGGCCTGAATTGTCTTTCGGAGGGTGGGCCCCTTGTGCTACAGGTCTCTCCCGGTCAGCAACTGCTCTAGGAACCTGTCAGCATCCCTGCACTAGCCAGCAGCGCGAGAGGCTGCATTTGGGGGGATTCTTTCAACATGTCTGCCCATTTCACGATGGGTGACTTATGAGTGCACCTGCCCATACTGCACTGAGTGTTTGGCAATTTTTGACCCAAAACAGCATGATCCCCATGTCCCATCCTCCCTGCTCATCCCATCTCTCCCCCACGTGATTTTGTTTTCCCAGATGAAACAAGTCCTCAAAGGGAAAAGGTGTGCTGATGTGGAAGGGGTGAAACAAAAAACAGCAGAGGCACTAAACAGCACCCAAACTGACGAGCTCAAAAACAGTTTTGTGCAGTGGAAAAAGTGTCTGGATAGGTATATTGCATCAAATGGAGAGTACTTTGAAGGCGACTGAAATTTAAACGTGTAAGAATAAACACACGATTTTCTATAAATAAATTCTATTTTACTGGGTCTCCCTGTACTCTGAAGGTAGAGTGTATCTGTGATCCTTTTTAGTGTTTAGCATAGCACCACGTATGATTAAGTATTTTAAAAAGTGGCAATGACAAAAGGTTGATGTCAAATAATAAAACAAAATTATTTTCCGTTAATTGAAGAGAACATGGTCTTCCATGAAGAAAATCACTGAGTAATAAAGACAAAAGGAAACACATTTCAGGTTTTTAAAATTTTCAATGGGCACATCTGCAGTAACGCTCACTAACAATAAGCCAGCCCTTGGTCTATTTTAGCCCTCTGCGTTCTGTACTAGCTGGAGGTTAGTCTGTTAACCTTCTACAGCACAGAAGAATGCAGAACCCTAGAATTCTGGATAATTTAAAAATTCTCCCGATGTTTCTTTTTGCAGGAAGTCACTACACTTACCTTTGATCTGTCTTTGAAGTGGTAGGAAAAATGTCTTCCTCCACATCTGATTCATCTACCTCAATCACCTAGGGTGGGGAACAAAGCAACAAATGATTTTGTGAGTAAAAATTAACTAAATGACTGAATCCCAAGGTGTTTTAAAAAAAATTACACTAAAAAGGAGACAGAATCCAAGTAAGCAGCAGGTACGACGACGAAAGCTTAGTCTGCCCCCCCCATATGTATCCCTCTTTGTTCACGAATGTCATTCCTGGCTACACACTCAGCTCACGTCTTCCCAGCCACCACAGGGGCCTGGGCACCCAGAGGAAGGCTCATGAGGTTGGTGAATAACTCGCAGCAGCTCATATGCCCTTCGATTTCCTTCATGGGCTCTGAAGACAAACGAGACCATCCATGTTCCGTCTCCAACTTTAAATGAGGCATCAGACTGTGTGACTCTCTCTCTGTTACATATCTCCGTTAAATACCATTTGTTAGTGTCAAGACCCAACAAAGATATTTCTGGTTCTTGGCTCTGTCACCCAAGACACAAACTCCCCCTCTGCATCTCATGTAGTCTTGACACCTGATACACACGTTTGCTATGTCTTTATTCCACTGAAGAGCAGATGGAGATGAAGCCAGGGACAGAACACCAAACAAGTGGTGCCCGAGGCCAAGGCTGCTGCCAGCCACCCTGCAGCACACGGGACAGTCTCTGAACAAAGATGATTTGGTCCAAAATGTCAACAGGGCTGTGACTGGGGAGCCCTGATGCAGAGGAAGTATCCTGGCTTGGGGGTCAAGACACGTGGGCTTTGAAGGTGCGGTACCAGGGTGTCAAGTCCACGTTGGAACAAGTCAGGGGACAGCAGATGGCCCATGCTGAGTCTGAGGCAGGACACAGACCCCCTGACACTGGCCCTGCAGCCACTGTGAGTCCAATATCAGCCATGAGCCACAGCCAACATCATGAGAACAAAGTAACAAGAGGAGCCCAGGCATAAATAAACCTCTCTATGCACCGAATTCACCTTCAGTCTTAGCATACCAGGCCCGGGCTCGTTCAACACTGTTATCCTTAAAAACACTGCTATATCCATGACATTTATGGATTTCTAATAATGTGAACCATTATCTTCAAAAGAGAAAAAGAGAAATTAAGAAAAAAGCAAATCCTAGAAGCCCTCAGTATAATCAGTAAAGTTCTCTCCAGCTTTAACGTTCCATACTTTTTCTTCTTTTATTTACTTTGTAAGTCAAAGTGTTGACAATTCATAATGCAGGAAACATGAATTATTAAAACACAGCCATGAAACTTTTTTCTCACCTCTGAATAATTCTTAGGGGCAACGTTTCGGGAGGGCTGCTGTCTTGTAGCTTTAAAGGCTAGAATGGCAAAGACGAAATATGTATTGTTATTCTTAAAACAACTTAGAAAAACTTGCACATTAGTTTAATTGAAGGATTTCTAAGTCCTGTTTGCAAAAACCCATGACAACCAATTATAAAACCATTTATATTTTTTAAAACTAAAAGGAGGTTGAAATATATGTTCAAATAATTCAAGGCCTAGCTGTCAGTTTTATAATTTCCCAGCTCATTCAAATACAGTAGAAGAAGCAGTGTTCATAAATATACCCACACCAAAAGTATTTTATAGAAAACACCTGAAGGACAGAATCTGATTGCCTAACCACCTGAACTGTCAACACCTGAAGGTCAGCCTCTTCCCTCTGCAGCCAGTGCTGCTTCTCCCATAGCTAGCTTAGGAGTTACATGGCTCCCATAAGGAGCTTCTTGTTCTCCCCTACCTGGACAGCCATATTTGGTAACTAAGAAATGTATCTGACGAAAATTCTAGAAAACAGCATATTATTTATTCCATGATAAAAATTCCTTTGAATCCACGCTTTCAGATGAGTGTGGTGGCTTACACCTGTAATCCCAACACTTTGGGAGGCCAAGGCAGAAGGACTGCTTGAGCCCAGAAGTTCAAGACTAGCCTGGACGACATAGCAAGACCTTGATATTAGCAGACTAGCAAGGTTTAGAAAATAAATCTCAACTGAGTATTTGAAATTTATTATAGGTTTTGATCTCAAGGGAAAAGAGGGGGAAAGAGAATGGGTTAGCTAAACATCAGGAGTCTAACCAAGTTTTCTTTGGTTCTGTTTTCTGAGTGAGTTTCACTCTTTATGGAGTGCAGGGACACAATCGAGGGTCACTGCAGCCTCAACCTCCTGGGCTCAGGCGATTCTTTGGCTTCAGTCTCCCCCCTAGTAGCTAGCACTACAAGCCTGCACCACCACACCTGGCTAATTTTTTGATTTTTTTGTAGAGACAAGGTCTCGTTATGTCGCCCAGGCTAGTCTTGAACTTCTGGGCTCAAGCTAGACTAGAGACCTAGGAAGGTGAGTGACTTGTCACAAGTCGCAAAGGTCACATGCTGAACTCAAAGTTGAACTCCACCTGGGTCCTCTACAACTTGAACGGATGCTCTCTCTCTCTCTTCTCTGTGTCTGTGTTAGACCCACCAAGAATAGAACAGCTTCTCTCTGGATGCAATTCCCTAAAGTAAAGACAGCATGTTTCTGAAACTAAGCATACTAGCTGGCTCTCCTCAAGTACTGAATCATACTTGAACAGAAATACAGCAATAGAATGTCTGATAAGGTTCCCTAAGAGTCTTCAATCAATCTGATGTCTGTACCCTTTCTCCAATGCCAGCTGTCATCCCATGCACATTGAAACTTCCTTCAATGGAATGACAGCTCACTTGCTTTCAAGGCAGCTTACTCCATCTTCACACTAACTAGACAGGTTATTCTGTATAATGCAGACTCCTCTGCTGAGAACCAGTAGCTAGGTTTCTAACCTCATCTTGGTCTGGAAGCCAGTAGGTGGTCAACTACTAGTTCTGGAGTCCAGAGAACACGAGGTCATTCCAAGCTCTGGTTCCAAATTGCTATGAGACCTTGGGCAAGTCACCTATCTTCTGCTTTTCTGTAAAGCAGGGTTAGTTTAATAAGTACTTACCCCACAGACCTTTTAAAAGGCAGGCAGTTTCACAAGTTTTAGCTACTATTTGTACTATCAGTGGCTTTATGAGGAAGCAAAGTTGCTCCAATATCTTCCAGGTCCATTCAATCAGGTAAGCTTCATCTGGTATGCTTCCAGCTTTTCCAATTCAAACTTAAGGGGCCAGGAGTTCTTAATCTGGGGTTAAGAATTGGCTTCGTGGCAAGGGCAGGGTGTGTGTGTCCCTGAATGCTTTGAAAGCCAGTGCAATCGCATGTGAGTACTTATTCAGGGAGAGAAGACGTTGCTCTCATCAGGTTCTCAGAGAATCCGTAAGCCAAAAGATATAATATTGCCTTTGGAACTAAACTAAACAAATCAATATTCCTTTTCACATGCTAGAACATAATCTATGTAAAGACCTGAATCCTTCCCAGACCTGATATTCCAAGCTCCTTCAACCATGTTTTAAGTTATATGGTTTCTCTTCTGAGTGCTCATACACAGTTGACATCCTGCCTGAAATGCAATTCAAGATGAGCACAGTTCTCTTGCCATGGCACGTCCATATAGGCACAGGGAGAACGTCCTTGTTGTAGACGCACCACTTCTGCTAACAGGGCGTAAGACAGCCATCAGCCTGGCAGTCAGGCTGGCCTGAACAGCTTTACTGACCTAAGAGGTCTGTGTCACCTGGTGCTGCTAAGCTCACATGCCTTTCGCAACTGTATTGCGTAGCTGTCCTTCGGACATAAATGTAGCTTGTATTTGCCCTTGACAGACTTCATCTTGTGAGAATTAGTTCAAGTCCCCAATGTGTCAACGAGTAATCCTAGCTATGAAAGTGAGACAGTAATTAACCTCAAATGACAGACAATATAAATACTGCCTTTGGAACTAGACTAAACAAATCAATATTCTTTTCACATGCTAGAATATAATCTATGTAAAGGCCTGAATCCTTCTCAGACTTGATATTCCAAGTATTTACATGTATTCTAAATGCAAAGTAGAAAAAAATACCACCACTTATCTTACCCATTTTGGTAAACATGACTACAAATTTGAGGCCAATTTTTAGACTACAGGACATACACAAATGAATTCCACGACTTAGTCACAATTTCACACACATCTCTACACAGGCGCCAGCACAGGGAAAACATGGAAGCAGAATTACAGAGGCAGTTTCCCTCTCTCAGTCATTGTTGTATACCGACCAATGCTTCACCTCTCTATGGTGCCATGATCTCTGTCAAGGGAGAGAATTTTTAAAGTTTATCCAAGATAGTTCTGATGCGTGACAAAGATAGTTTAAAGAATAATTTGGCCAGGCTGGGTGGCTCAGCCTGTAATCCTAGCACTTTGGGAGGCCAAGGCAAGTAGACTGCCTGAGCCTGCGAGTTTGAGACCAGTCCGGGCAACCTGGCGAGACCTCGTCTCTACAATAAATAAAAAATTAGCTGGGCACAGTAGCGCGCCTGTAGTTAAGGCTCCTTGGAAGGCTGAGGTGGAAGTCGATGCTGGGGTGGCCATGAGTATGCCACTGCACTCCAGTCGGCAATGGAATGAGACTCCAGCTCGAAAAAGAAGAAGAAAAAGAAAAAAGAAAAGAATAATTTATCCTGAGATCCGAATTGCCCTTTTAACTCTCCAAAAATGGCAATGCAAATACATAAGGGTTACCACTGGGGATCACCTCGGTATTTCTATGTTGGAATTTATAATTAACTGCTAGGCAATTACCTGCTGCCTATACTCACCATCCATAATAGACATATTTCTAGATGTCGACACAGTGGCCTTTGAGCTCCTGCCACGAGTGGAAGTTTCCAGGCCAGTGCTTGCTGTTGGAAAAGCGAGCAGTCAATCTCGAATCCTATCAGTAGCTCAGGCTTTTTTATGCAACTCCAAAATAAAAGCTAAGTAAAACTATGCCAAATAAGTGTATTTGTAAAACATCAAAAACATGTATCAGAAGAACATCTGGTAACTGACCAACTGATTTTCAGAGACGATTCTTTTAGGTCACATTTGGTTCTTATTTGTCCAATTAAAATTTAAGAAAAAGTTTTGTAAGTGTAAGGATCATGAGAATCATCATTAGAAGATAGAGACTTTAAACTAGTTTACTATGCGTTTTACCAGCATGGCATTCCTCTGGATAAATACTTAAAAGCGGCCACTGCACTCCAGTCTGGGCGACAGAGTGAGATCCAACTCAAAAAAACAAAACAAAACAATGTGTTAAAATATCCCTAGGGGTGAGTTTATACAATGCGTGAGAAAGTCACCAGATGACCATTTTCTATTTGCTTGGACTATTCAATGACAATAATGTCTCTTTGAATACAATCATGACAACTAATGATTGCTTTTAGAAACCAAACTGTTTTTTTTTAATAAGCAAACTTCACGAAGCCCACTTCATAAGCTTGTGGATACTGTATCCTATGCCAACAACAAAAATGATAATTGTAATCGCATTCTCATCCTGTTCCTCCCACTGCCATTAGCTAGCTATTTTCTCTAATAACTCCTATTTTCCTCACTATTACTTTGTACCAATGAGCGTAAATATGCCATTAAATGAACCCAAAAGGTAATGTGTGAAAAACACAGTGAAGCTTGTAAAAGTATGTGTTAGGAACAATTAAAACCCTACATGCACGTGGCCATTCAAAATTCATTTAAGTAAAAAGTACATGCAGCTGCACTAAAGACGCCTTTATGCATTGTAAAAATAGGTGTTTTTTAAAGAACTGTGCTTTGACCACAGAAACTTGATTCTGACAAGATGCAATCCTGCATTTCCCCCTCAACTGCCAAGTCTGAGTATGCAAACGCCTACACCCAGTGCTACCTCTTCCTCTCTGAGACCCTCCTCTCGGTGCTGAATTCTGTCCTCTTCCTCCTCTTCGTCCTCTTCCCCGGCCTCTTCCTTTGTTCGCTGCTGCCGAGATGCTGTCATCAGAGTCATCAGCCATCTGCTCAGCTAAGTCTACACTCATCAGGTCATCGGCACTGAAGGCGGAGTCCTCTGTCTGAGCTCTGAGTGCTCTAGCCCTGTTCATAGCCTGAGAGATGACAAAGAGAAGGTATGCATAAGTACACGGCGCAGCCTCCGGACACCAATCAGGAATCCAGATGAATACCTACCACTGTCAACCTGTCTACATCATTCTTCACTATAAAAGATAAAAGGGAAGCTCCTCACTAAGCAAATCAATTGTCTATTATCTGTCAGATCAATTTACAATCCTACCTGTAAAATGAGACCTTGCAAAAAGGTTTAACTAAGAAAAATGAAACTTTACAAGATCAAAACTTCCAGAAATCAAAGAAATACTGGCAACCACACCTAATTCAATACCACATTTCAAAGAGACTATCATCATCTGAGCCACTTTTTAAGATGGGATCTTAATAAATAAGAAAAAAAGCTTACAGAAAATAGCTGTTATCTCTGGGTGGTAAAATTTTAGGGTCCTTTGTTTTCTCTTTTACTCTTGAATACTACAAAATTTCTATAACACCCTTTTTCTAAATTTTTTTAATGAGAAAAACATGAACAATAACTTCTTACAAACGCATGATAAAAAAAATTAAATAGAATATATCAATCGAAAATCTAGGAAATAAAAATCTTAGGACCAATAATATGCCACAAGTGTTTAGTGTCTTATTTTAATAAGAAACCATCTAGAAAAGACAAGTTTGACACTTAACCAAACATTCTAACTCTGAAAGAAACACAGACATTCTGATTAAAAGCAGAATAAAGGTAAAGGCCCCGATCTTCCCTAAAACCAATCAAGGCATAAAAGGAGAACAAAAACGAAACACATTTTCGATAAAGTTAGAAAACAGCTTCAACTCCCAAACACACAATCTATGAAGAAGAGTTAACGGATAGAATGAACACCTGACCCGGCTACAAGCTGAGAAGGTTCCAGACATTGCAGAGCTCTCTACAATCGATGCATCCCACGAGTCGTGACAACAGGATCTCTTGGAATGGGAAGTTCTGGGTCTAAGGGTGACGACCAGAGCACCTCCAAGCTTTGCGACACCATGAAGTAGGGAGAAGGAGGGCCAGAGGAGGAGATGTGACCAAGGCAGGCAGCGAAGTGGGAGGGAGGAAGGGACAGAGGGCGGGAGGGAATACAATTTCCCATGACCTTAGCTGGGGGGAATAGCAGCTAGATCACAGCAAGAAGGGCTTGAAGGGTGCTGCAATACAGACAGTCTCCTACACAGGTAGGCTTATGTGGAGAGCCCACTGCTCCGCGGCTACAAACCAGACAGCGTATTACTGCATTAAATGCTCTGGGCACCTGTAACACAGTGGGAGGCATCTATGTATCTAACATGGAAAAGGAACAGTCAAAATACAGCACTACAGTCTTACGGACCACTGCCACACCTGCATCAGAGAGCACCATGTTTTTTGCATTGTTGTGCGTTTGCTTTTGTGGTGTTTAAACCGCCTCCAGCACAGTGCTGGAGTGCTGGTTAGAGTCCCCAGGGGCGAGAAGGCTGTAATATGCCTTTTGGAGAAAATATTTGTTAGAAAAACTTCATTCAGGTATGGTCTATAGACTATTGGCTGTGAGTTTAACATTAATGAATCAACAGTGTATATTAAACAGTGTCCTTAAATAGAAACACATAAGAGGTTATGTATTGACAAAAATGTTCTAACTAGTGACTCATAGGAACTTAATGCTTTATTTCCCCTAGGAGCAGTGGTTCAGTATTTGCTAATTCAGTGCTAGAAGTGACTTTATAGACCATAGCTACCACACATAACAAGAAAAAAGGTGACCTAAATTAGATAATTAATAAAATAGATCTAATTGATACATGTTGAATTCTGTACTCTGAAAAGAAATAATGTATTTCAAGACCGCATAACATTTTTTAGCTGATCTATAACAGGATGCTAAAAAACTCAATAAATTCTAGATGGTAGAAACAGAATTATCATACTATCTAATCATCATCCAAAAAAATGAGAAATAATAATAAAGTAAAACTCCCGAGACTCCTGAAAATTAATGAGAATAAAACTGTAAAACAAAACTAAAATTGTTGAATATCTAGAAAATAATAACAAAAACACTGCGTATCATCACATCAAATGAAAGAGCTAAGGTGGTGCTGATATACAGCCTGCCAAGTAAGAATAAATCTAAGTAAGCTAATCTTGTATTCAAAAGTTTGAAAAAATAAAGCTCATCCAAGGAAAGAATAAAGATAAAACCATGTATTAATACATTTTATACAAAAAAATATTAGAACTAATAAAGCTAAGAACATATCCTTTGGAACAAAATAGCAATACTGATAAAAATCAATAGCTGTTTATCAACAAAAACAGTTTAACAGAAAAGGAAGAAAATACAAATACACATTATTAGAAACAGAAACAGGGGGGAGAGCCAAGGAAAATTAGAAGATTTATGACAGAATGCTCAATTCTACAAAGTTTGGAAAACGGAAAAAAAGCAAAACAAAACAGACCAATTTTCAAATAAAACTTTGAGAAAACGTTAAAATAAATATACTCCTCACCAAAACCCACAAAACTTAGCAGGTAAATTCTACCAGATTTTCGAAGAACATTGCCATTGCAATGGTGCCAGAGAACAAAGCAAGCAAATTTCCAGACGGCGTTTATGGAGCCACCATGACACAGTACTGACAAGGGACGGCATGCACAGAAAGAAAATCAGCACTTTATTCACGAATATGAAGGCAGACACCAGGACTCCAGGACCACACGGAAACACCAGTATACAGTCACTACCAGGGGTTTAGAGAGTGATTCAAGAATGGGTTCATGACAGGCCATGCATGAACATAATTCACTATACTGATGAGAAAAAAAGCCAGATACGTCTCTATATGTGCCAACAGGGCAGGCAACTCACCAGCCAGTCCTGATTTTCGCCAACAGCCTCGGAGTAAGTGGATACTTTCTTCACATGCCAAAAACCCCAAACGTTACACTATTCTGTGTATGTAGACAGAGACACACAGAGAGAGAGAGAGTGAGAGTGAGAGAGTGAGAGAGAGTGAGAGAGAGAGAGAGAGAGAGAGAGAGAGAGAGAGAGAGAGGGAGGGAGGGAGGCAGAAAAAAGGGAGGGAAGGGGAAGGAGGGAGGACAGGAAAAAGGGGGGAGAGCGAGAGAGACAAGGGAGAGAGGGAGAGAGGGAGAGACAGAGACAGAGCAGACACACAAGTGTGCTCAAGTGAGTGCTCTTACAAGCCAATTAGAGAAAGAAAAACACTCTACCCAAAAGAGAAAATGTGATCAAAGAAAATGACTATGGGTTTCAGATAAAAAGAAATGATTTAGCAACACAAACATTATTTAGACTCACTAGTAAAAAAATGAATTTTTTAAAAAGTAGAAAATAATTTATCCCTTAGATTTATGAAGAGCAAAGGACGCAGTGATACACCATGATGAATCAGAACTGGGGACATAAGCGCTCCCAAATACCGCTGGTTGGAATAGAAACGATATGACAGTCGGGCTTGGTGGCTCAACCTGTAATCCCAGCACTTTGGGAGGCCGAGGTGAGTGGATTGCCTGAGCCCGCGGGTTCGAGACCCGCCTGGGCAACTTGGCGAGACCTCATCTCTACCATAAATCAAAAAATCAGTCGGGCGTGGTAGCGCGTGCCTGTAATTCCGGCTACTCGGAAGGGAGGCGGAAAGATCGCCGGAAATGATATGACACCTTGTAGCAGTTGGCAGCATGTAGCAAAACTGGAAATGTGCATGCCCTACTACAATTACTGTTTCTCAGAATGAATTACTAACCATCATTTCTAAATTTTGTAGTTCTCCCTCTGTCTGAATACTGTATCTTCATTTTTATCCTCTCAAACATTACATTCAAATTGTATTTTTAACTCTAACTTTTCTATGCAAAAGATTCTGGTATCTTTGAAGTTTATTACTTCTCAGATTTTACCTCACGGGCGTAGGTCTAAAGCCAACACCAAAGACATTCCCATACACTTTCTGTGAGATCTGAACACATGCTAACCTGGTAGTACACATTTTAAAAATTGTAGTGCAAGATACATAACATAAAACTCACCCTTCTAACTGTTTCTGAGTGCAGTACAGCAAGTTACGTGCTTTCACATTGCTGTGCAACCACTGCCGCCATCCACCTCTTGGAATCCTTCATCATCCCACACTGAAACCCCAGGCCCATTCACACTGCCCTCCCCACAGCCCTGGTCACCACCACTGTTCTGTCCCTGAGTTCAACCACTGTAGGCATCTCACATCAGGGAAAGATAAAAATATCTGCCCTCTGCATCTAGTTTTTTACACTAGCATGTGGTTTCACGTGTTACCCATGTTGTAGCATGCGGTTTCACGTGTTATCCATGTTGTAGCATGCATCTGAGTTTTATTCCCTTTTAAGACTGAAGAACATTCCACTGCATGCGTACGCCACATCTTATTTATCCATTCACCTGTGTCCTCTGGGCTGCTTCCACCTCTTGGCTATTGTGACTCATGCATCTATGAACACTGGTGCACAAAGATCTGTAAGTCCCTGCTTTTAATTATTTTGGTTATATACCTAGAAGTGGGATTGCTAGATTATATGGCAATTATGTTTAATTTTCTGAGGAACTACCATCCTTTCCAGGGTGGCTGTCCCATTTTTAATTCCCACCAGCAACGTACAAGGATTCTCATTTCTCCACATTCTAACCAAAATTTGTAATTATTGTTTTAAAATAATAGTCATCTAACGGGTGTGAAGTAGCATCTTACTGTGGTTTTGATTTGTATTTGTTATGACTGGTGATGTTGAGTATCTTTTCATTTGCATATTGATCACTAGTAAATCTCTGGAGAAATGTCTATTCAAGTCTTTTGCCCATTTTAAAAACTGAGAATTTTTTGTTATTGCTGAGTTTCAGAAATTGTAAAAATATATTCTGGACAGTCATCCCTTAACACATACATAATTTGAAAATATTTTCTCCCATCTGGTGGGTCACCCTTTCATTATGCTGACAGTGTCTAACATTACATTTTGAAAGAGGATATCAATGCTGCCTTGAATTCAGACCGAACATAAGAAATTAGAAGCCAAGTAAGCTAAGAACCCTGGGTCAGACTAAGAATAGTTTTTGTATTTTTAAAGGGCTGTTAAAAAAAAAAAAAAAAAGAGCTGGGTGTGGTGATTCACACCTGTAATCCTACCACTTTGGGAGGCCTAGGAGGAAGGACTGCTTGAACCTAGAAGTTTGAGACCAGGCTGAGAAACACAGTGAGACCTTTTGCCACAAAAAATAACAAAAATTAGCCGGGCATAGCAGCGCATGCTGCAGTCCCAGCAACTCTGGAGGCCAAGGCAGAAGATCACCTGGGGCCAGGAGGTCAAGGATGTGGCAAGTCACGATCATCATCTCACTGCACTCCAGCCTGGTCTCCACAGAGTGAGACCCCAACCAGTAGATAAATAAAAGCAAGACTATGTGATAAAGTCCTTGTACATAGCCTGCAAAGCCTAATATTTACTGTTTGGCCTTTCATTTAAATGTGAGCCTATAATTAAAGACTTGAGAGCTTTTAACAAGAGACTTTTTTAAAGCATAATGTTTTCCTCTAAAATAATTCAAGAAGTATTTTCTTTACACATCTCTGACCTACTAGACTGAGGAAATCTTGGGACATAGACCATTCTACTTATATTCCTCATATAAAACAGAATGTCTAACTCACAGTAGGCCGTATGCAAAATATCTACTGAATGAAAGCACTCAAGACAAAACCAACAGTAAATCATTTATAAGATAACTCTCGAATACTAGACAGCAATCATAAAACACTAAGGACAATAGAGAACAAGCAAATACATTTCACCCATGAATTCACCAAGTTCTCAACGGAGGCCCAACATGTGAGTGAGTGGCTGCCAGTGTGCAGTTCCCTCTCTGCAAAGACAGTGATGCCGGTGTTCAAGCTAATCTTAACAATCTAGAATGGGTAATGGAAACCATCTGTTTACCCTCAGAAACACTGCTAACCAAAACACGTGTGTCTTTTTTGCCCCAAATAATACCGGCTCAGGAGGGTAAGACTTCATTTCTTATTTATAAGATGCTCTGATGGCAAGGAGATCAGATTTGATTAGAAAGTGCTCTTGTTGTATATGCTCCCCAAACAGACAATTAAGTAAGTTTTGGACAAAGGAAAGGGGAAAAAACAGAGTTATACCAGCGAGCAGCACACCTGTAGGTTGAACTGAAATCAAAGGCATCCAATCCTACTCACTCCCATCCACCATACCCATGGACTGACCATGCTATAATAAATAAACCTGCCAATTACTCCAGTTTAACAAACAGACACATAGGAACAGGAATCTACAGCAGAACAATTACCTCCCGAACTTCATCATCTTCTTCATTAGTATTTTTTTGCCGGCTTTCCCTGAAACGACGAACCTAGAGCATAACAGATAAATTACAAATCACGTTTATTCCAGTTACATAAATATAAAGCTCTACGACTGAGTAAAAAATGCTTTATGCTAAAAAATAAAACTTGCAGTCTTAGCTACAATTTGTTTCACAAAAGATTGATTAAAGAAATTGTATTTTTCCAATTACATTAAAATTTTCAAAATGTACTCTAAAAAATTGACCCTAAGCAAAATTATATTACCTGTTGCCAAAATGTTCCATATTACTGAAAAATGATCTGTCAGACTGCAGAGGAAAAACACTCAAATAACCTATGGGCGTTATACTTCAGTAAAACAGTTGACAACAAAAGCATCTCCTTGATGAGCCTTGAAATACTTATTGCATTGCTCAAATCGCTCTTGTGCACTTGGCTGCAAGCCATCCAGGAGGCTCTGTGACGTGGTATCTGAAGGGGGTGGGACCCTCAAGATTCACTTTTACCAAAAACGGTCATCGACGGAATGTTTGCTGACCACGCCAGGCACTACTGTGGGATCTGGGACTACGGCAACTAATAAAACAGTTAAAACTCTGGCCTCATGGAGCTTACAAACTACTGCGTACACGGGAAGAGGGAGAAGCAAGCAAGAAGTCATGCTGTGTTTAAGAAAGCATCTGAGACCAAGTGGATTTCCAGCTAGATCAGGAAGGCCTGGCCTGGGGAGCCTCCCCAGGATCAATCTGTCTACTGACAGTTTTCAACCCGCATAACCTTGCTTACGTAGAGAGCAGCAGAGGATCCCCTGGGAACATCTGCAAAGGCCTTGATGCTTATTCCAGGGACCATCCAGGTGTGCACACAGAGACACGGGCACTGGTGCCTGGGGGCCGCTGCGATCCCCAATGCCTGCCTGTACTCTTTCTGACTGCACTATAGTTTTTCCCTGTAAATGAAAACCTTAAGTGAGGATGCTCAGAGGACTTCCATGAATCCTTTGAAATATATGACCCTGCACAATCTTTGCAAAAGGTGATACATGCTCAGAGAAACATAAAGCAGGAGGGACAGGCAGTACTGAGAAGAGGCTACATACATCTCAACAGGGTGATCACGAAGGCCTTGTCAACAAAGCCTTATGTGAGCAAAGACTTAAGAGGCGGGGAAGGAGTCATGCAAGGAGCTGGGGACAATCATTCCAATCAGAGGAGAGAGCATGCATGAAGGCACTGGGGCCAAGCATGCCCGGTATGTTTACAAAATGGCAAGGAGTGTTATGGCGGGGGCAGGCATGAGGGTAAAGAAATAACAGAGCCAGGCTGAAGAAGGCCTTGCAACCAACGATAAGAGCTGTGACTAATCTGAAATAGTGAGGATCACTGGACAGCTGAATTGAGGACAGAATGGAGGCGGGGTGGAGAAGGGCACAGGTGGCAGCAGAGACCAGTCTGGAGACTATGGGAATGATCCACAAGGAATGGCGATACTGTGGACCCATGCAGTAAGGTAGCAAGAAGCAGCCACACCATACATACACTCTGACGACAGAGCAAAAAGGATTTCCAGGCTGCCGGGATGTAAGTGACAGAAAGAGAAAAGCCAAGGATGCCTGCATGGTTTTTGGCAGCTGAAAGAACAAGGCTTCCCCCAGAACACCAGGGTGAGGATCAACACTGCAGACCAGGATGCGTTCCAAGGGGGCGATACCTGTCACGCGTCTGAGTGGAAATGTGACCACCAAACGGATGACATGTAAACCAGGCGACTGGATGAGATCCCCAGGGTGTGTGTGGGCTGAGTTCCAGGGATGCCCATCTAAGAGGCTGGAGAGATGAATGTCATCAACAGACTGAGCGTGCAGCGCCATCGAGGCAGTAAGAAAACCAGAAGAGTGTGCAGCCCCGAAAGTCAATGAAAACAACGTTTCAAGAAGCAGTCGAGTGAGATTCAAGACAGAAAACTGACAGCAGATGTGGCAATGAGGGCGCTGGGGGCCTCAATAGGAGCAGCTTCACTGGAATGATGGAGCCAAAAGCCTGAACGGACGGGTGTGAGAGAACACGGTGAAAGAATAGTTAGGGAGCACATCTAGAAAACTCTCTGAAGCAATTCGGAGGAGCACAGAGAGAGTCACAGCTACAGGGTCAGTGGGATGGAGAGTAAATGCATCAACAGCTGGAAAGAAAGAAAGCACATTTGCTATGACTTGGTGGAGGGAAAAGAGCAACTCTTCAACACGCGACCCAGCAGGTGTGTAACAATGCCAGGGTGGTGTGTAGCATGCTGGAAGGGCCAAGCCATTCGCAGAAGGGAAACGAGAGTCAGTGAAAATGCTGAGCAGACAATATGTGCCAGGCAGCATCCTGAGGATTACACAGATTAATTATTTTCATCCCTGCAGTAACTCTGAAGGAGGCTTTATTATCATCCCCATTTTGTAGATGAGAAAATTGAGGCACGGAGAGAATTCATTTTAACAGGTACACAGCTAATAATGGTTTTGATGTCGAACACTGTTGAATATGGGCAGACTATAGTCTCGTCCAGAGCCTACCTGTAAGCCGCCATGCGCCACACACACACACACACACACACACACACATACATAACTCAGGAGACGTGATGTCACTGTGGGCTGGGATGGTCATGTTTTAGTTCAGATATTCATCTGAGAAATCCACTCATGCTAAAAATTAGCAAACCTAATACATCCAGAGTCACAGAGCAATTAGTTTTTGAGTGTAGATTACCTGCCCTAACTGTGAAAGTACTTGGTATTGAATTACCGGCACACACTGACAACAGGAGGCTTTTAAAAGAACCATGTTAACTAAAAACACTAAAACGAAAGCCAAAGATGAGTTTTTAAAATAATGTTGCTTTGTTCTGCTTAGGAGGAATCTGGAAAATATAGAAAGTGACCCCTGTAATACAACCACCCAGAAGTAACTGTTGATTAAATGTCTGGAATATTTTCCTTTATTCTTTATTTATACGCTCACACACTCAAATAAAAATAACTGGAATCATATTGGGCTTAGCCTTGCATCTTCGGAATTCTTTTCCCACTTTTCATTTTCTTCTTTTTTTTAAAGTCCTTCTAATCTAAGAACTATGTTCTCCTTTAAAAATGTAGTATTTAATTGCTGCATAGAATTGTATACGGTGTCTGTGCCAACAGTTATTGTTCCAATACATTTCCAACTATTTCCCACTATAAATAACACAACGATAAATCACTCCAGACATACTCCTCTATCTCACTACTTTCGTAAGAAAATTTTCCAGGGCTGAGTGAAAGGGTAAATCTTCTTAAGTCTCTTGATATACACTGTCAAAATGCTTTTTGATAAAGCTATTCAAACATAATACTCCTGCCAAGAGTATACTAGACAGTATGTGTCTCAAACCATTGTCAATTCAACAAATAAAAATATATTGACTTTGGTTTCTTTGATCATCCCAGGCTAAACACCAGCTTCATTTGCTTATTAGCCATTTACATTTCTTTAGTGAAACACCTATTCATGTCCTTTATTCGTGATTCTATTAAAATGTTTAATATTTTTTAAAAATTTACAAGAGCTCTTTAATATTATATTAGGAATATTAGTCTTTTGTCTACCAACATACAAATATATCCTCCATTTCAATATCTTTTCATTTTGTTTTTTGACAACTTGACATGCAAACATTCAACATTTCTACATAGTGAAATCTAAACCGTTTTTGCTGCATAATTCTTCCACTGCCTTTATGCTTAGACAGAATAAACTTCTTAGAGGAAATTCAAAATCTCAATCAAAACTTACTAAACAACTGGAATGAGCAGGAATTTCCTCCTGCGAGGTTCACTGTAAAGCACTGCAAGGATTTCAAGAGAAGATACTGTCTCCAGGGAATAGTACCGACACTAATGTAAGACTGTTCTAGGCATTTCCTAGGCATTTTCTGACTTAATCCTCATTTTATTAATTCGATTTTATAGATGAGAAAACTAAACAAATCAGAGAGGTTAAACCATGATTTGTCAGAAAAAACTCAGAGCTACTCTTAAAGAGAGACTCTCCAAATAGACCTAGACACCCAAATCAGTTACCTCTTCATCGATTTTGTCTTCCAGGGCATCAATGTGACATTCTTTAAGAAATCGCTGAGTTTTTTCCAGCTGGTATTTCACCAATTCCTCGATGGCATCTTTCTCCTCCTTGTCTACAAATTCTTGCACTGCTTCGCCCATCCCTCTTTCCGTTAGCAGTGAGAGCTGCACGTTCTGTAAGAGAGACACGAATCACGGGTTGCAGAAAGAGCATCTATTTCTTACAAAGTAATTGCATATGAGCAAGGAATATTACAGAATACTACTACCAGGGAGGAACAGAAAAAGGTGACCTCATTATTGAAGGAAGAAAAAACAAAAACAGTGTACAGGAAGCAAGTCTACTGATCAATGTGAAGGGTCAGAAAAAGCAAAGTCAAAACCAGGAAAGGGAGGAGAGTGCAGGACAGGCCAAGACGTCAAGGCCCAAGTGGCCAGGACAGAGCCCAGAAATGGCAGCTGAGGACTAAGACGAGATTAGCCCACATGGCAGGCAGAACAATGGTCCCTAAAGAGGTCCCCATCTTAACCTCTGTGACCTGAGCATACATGGAAAGGGGAACTGAGGGAACTGAGGTGGTTACCCAGCTGTGTGTAAAGGAGGGAGACCTCAGTGACTATCTGGCTGGCCCAGTGTGACCACAAGGGTGCTGGAAACTGGAAGGAAGAGGCAGAAGAAGGGAGCTGGAGACAGAGTGAGCTGTGGGAAAATGGTCAGAGAGATACAACACTGCTGGCTCCGAGATAAAGGGAGAGACCAAGAGCCAAGAAATGCAACACCTCCAAGAAGCAGGAACGGTTAAGGAAATGGGTTCTGCCTGGAGCCTCCAAAGGAACACAGCCATGCCGCCACCTTGAGTTCAGCCCAGCGAGACTGTGCCAGATTTTTGACCCTCAAAACTACAGGACAACACAAGGTGTGCTGTTTTAAACCACTAAGTTTGTGGGAATTTATTTCAGCAGCATAGGAAACTTAATACAAGCAGAGGGTCTTAAGTGTGGCACATACTCAAGATAGTACATTTGAGTGGTGTCACCATCTTGTGGCTGTCTCTGTAAAGTAATTCTGAAATTACATCCAAATGTGAGAAAATCAAATCCATAATTAAAACTTCCGCAACAGAGGTAAAAAGAAAATGAGACTAACAGCATCAACAATAACCACTACATTAATATTAGTAACTAATATTAGGCAAGCACTAATTTTTCTTGATATGCAATTACAAATAAATATAATTAATTGTCACCCCACTTATTTCACAGAAACGTTTTTAGGATTTTGTTTAAACTGTCAATTAAATACATGCTAAGTTAAAATCTGTTATTATAAGACAGCCATTATTCAGAATGTGAACTGTAAGAAATTACCTTCTCCGCGGTTTGAAAATACTGTTTTACAAGGTCTTCTACCCTTAGAGTTGTTCCTTCTGAAGGTTTTGTGATAAGTTTCCCAAAGTTGATCTCTTCTCCTAGAAAACAAGTCCAGAGAAAAAGTAATAGTTTCTACTGCAATGTTAAAGTGGCTAAACTCATTGAAAGTTGTCAGCGGAGAAGGTAAGGCAAACTTTATCAACTGCCAGCTTGCTCAACACGATCAATTTTGAGGCAAGACAGCCATTTTTGCTAATAGTCACAGTCCTTCCCCCACTGTCAGCATTTCTTTCCCGCATCTCCCAGTAGTTACGTCTCTTGCAATTCTTCTGCTGGGGAGACCACGGACCTCAGGAGTCCTCGAGACCCTTTTTCCGGGGGTACGTAAGGTCAAAGCTTCTTTCACAATAACTCTAAGGTGTGAATTTGCCTTTCCGCGGTCTGGGTATTTGTGCTGAAGCCACAAAAGCCACAGGGTAAAACTGGGGCACGGCCTGGGATGAGCGAGGGGAGCAACTCGAAACTCCACCTGCCGTCGTCACCACGCACTCACAGCTCGAGACATGGAAGCCAGTGTCGCTCGAGAATGGCCCGACTTATCAGTTACAAGCATCGATTACATCTCAGCGCTTGAGCACGTTACCTTCCTGACAACCTTCGAGAGACGGGAAACGCACTTCAAGCCAATCTGCTGCATCCCTAAGCAAGACGATCGTCTTGAAAGCAGCAGGCACATACTAGGAAGCACGTGAGCAGGAGGTCAGGAAAGAGTGCAGCATCTACTCTGCCAACGACTTTTGTCAGCTAAACGAATGTCAAGTGTGTGGGACCTGGTGTTAAAGCACAATGAGAAAGATATTCTCGCTGCCCATGAAAATAAACGATGATAATACAAGGTGGTAATCAGAGAATTCTCTGCTCCAGAGACTATGACACACAGAGAAGAAAGCAATGAGCTCTTCTCAAGAAGGATGAAAATTATGTGCAGCTATCAAATGCAGCTGTCATTTGAATTAAGAGTTACAGAATGAAAAGATTCACTGCAAAACAGGGAAACGAACAGTTCAGGCGAGGAAAAGTATATGCAAAAGCCTAAAAGGGAAAGGGCACCAGTGTTTCCCTGGCCAAGTGGCAAGGACAAGCAAACACTGGTCTTTTTTGAATTTCAAGGCAGGAGAGTTAATATTACTTCATAAATCTGATGACGACATTTTACTATGCCAGACACTATGTGGAGACCACTTATACAGTATATCATTTAATCCTCACAACAATCCTATGAGGCAAAAGGTTATTATCCTGCTTTGATAGATAATAAAAATGAACAGTAGAGATTTAGTAATTCCCACTCACATATGCAGTTGAATGGCAGAGCTGGCAAAACAGAAAATATTTTCAACAAAACATGCAAAAAATAATTATTATTGTAAATAAATAAGGCATACAAAAATGCCATTGTTTTTATCGAGCAACTTATGTGTATACAAATTTAAAAAAAAAAATCACTAGAACAAAACTCTCTATGGATGAAATTCAAGCAAGATAAGGTCCTAGTTGTATATTCTGTCTTTTTATGAATGTTATACCCATAACATTTCAAGGAATTGATAAGGATGTACAATTCAAGCAAACCATTATGAAGAAACAACTAATTAAAACCTATAAAATTTGTAAAAAATACAATTCTCTGATATGAGTTTTCTTCTCCCACAGCAGAATTACATAAACTCCATCTAAATATTTAATTGTTTCAGGTCTGATCACAATTTGACAATGAAAATAGAAGCTCATTAAATCTAGGCTAATAAAAACCTAGACAGCTTCCTTGTACATAAAGGTCATGCATTTCTGTGACCATTCTCTGATTCAACAGCTTCACGGAGAAGAGCCTCTATATCTAAAGGATCGATATTTTCTTATGAAAAACCACTATTTCAGTTGGATTATCTTGTTTTATAAATGCTAAAAAGGACAATTAGTTTTTATGAAATTTAATTGAAAATGAATTACTTGGATTATCAGTAACATCAAATTATGGAATATCTCATTCCAAAAGTCTGAAGTCTTCCTAAATCATTATAGGTTTTAAAGTCAAATCACTTAAGCAAAAGTTGAGAGATATTATCTCAACATTAATAATACATAGCAAGTTACAGAAATTTATTCTGAGCAATTACTCAACAGGACTTTTTAGGAAAAACAATGTTTATAGAGAAAGCCTTCCATTTCTTTATTCATATCCATCCACAGGTTTAAGAATTATTGTCAGCTGATTTTTAGAAGACAAGAGATTTAATTATTCCAACTATCAGTTTACTTGTCTAAAATATTACAATCACACTAAAACACCTTCCACTATTATTTTATATTTTTTACTAAATCCTGTAGGGCCATTTTTTAACTTGTAAAAATTAATGGCTTACCTGTTTTTTCCTTTTGCTCTTTATGCCTGAAAAAATGGATGACGTCCTTTGGATTAGCTACCCGATCCACAAACTTCTGGCTAAAGCGAAGAACGCTGAAAGGTTCAAAGCCTCCACTATAGTCCACCTAGAAATACAGGATACCATATGAAGGCCAGGAAACAACTGTCCCTTCTTAGGAAACATGCTTGTCCTTTAGTGTGCACAGTGTTTATGCTTGGTAGTTTTAAATTTATAATTTTCTATAATACAAATAATTACATATGATGCCATGTTTCTGGGCGACACGGTGAAACCCCACCTCTACAAAAAACACAAAAATGAGGCTCTGTGGTGTGTGCCTGCAGGTTGAGGCTGCAAGGAGAACTGCCACCTGTTCACACTCTCCCTCACACTTGTCACTCTGCTAAGTTTTTGTTCGTTTTGTTCTTTGATATCTGTTTATTGTGTTTCTCTGCAAATCTCCACCTCCTCTAAGCTCCACGCATTCAAAACCTCATCCATTTCACCATCACTGCGTCATCAGCATCCACAACAGAAAGGGCTCTGTGAGATGTGTTCAATAATTAATGAGGGCCCTTTAGTCAATAGAATGTAGTTTCGCAATATTACTTACACAGCAGCATCTATTCTTTCGTTTCATAGGTAAATATATTATTTACTGTGTTTAGAGAAAGGAATGCCAATTTTCTGTTTAGAAAGTCTGGTTAGTCAGGCAGACAGATAAGAAAAATGCACTCTTATGTGCCGATGGAAAGGCCTGTGTAATTCCCTGAAGGTGACACTCTTTGTATGGCCAGGACCATCACTACAGCTGCCATGCTATAAAACAGAAAACACTAAATGCTAGAGTTACTGGGTCTTCCCAAAATCCCTCAGACATTTTAATCATTAAACTCCAGCCTAGCCTTTTATTTGCAATTTCTGCTCCTAAGAGTTCCAGAACTTGTTCGTTACGCAAACTTTATTGGGTGTCTGCAATGTTCTAGGCACTCTGCTAAGGGCTAGGAATACAACCATCAATAAAGCAGTGTTGGCTGTCAAGAAATTCATCAGCAACTGGAAAGACAAACATGCAAACAGATAGCTACTGCCACCAGAATGTGACCAGTGCTATAAGAGGCATGTGAAAAAGCAGAATGAGGACACAAAGAAAGCAGCACCAGCTCTCCGGGGAAGTGAGAAGAGGCTTGTGGGAAGAGAGAGGCTCCAGCTGGGGACTGGAGGAGGTACAGAGACAGGCAGAGGGAAGTGCACTTTCCACAGCAGGATCAACATGGGCAAGGATTCCAGGGAAAAAAGAGACCACACCAGGCCCAGGGAGCGGTAGCTTTTCATCCGAGAAGACTGGAGCTGACAATGTGCTACAGGAAAAGGAGGAAGAAGCCCAAGAGGCTGGTTCAGACCAGATCATGGAGGCCCCTGACTGCTATCCGAACAAGTTTAGGGAATGAAGTTGTTTTCAGCAGTGAAGACACCCAACAGTGTGTTTTACAAAGACCATTGCTCCAGGTCATATGACTAGTGGAGGAGCCAGACAAACCCAGGAGGTTTCCAACTCCACCATCTACCTGCCAGGACTTCTCAGATTCTAAAATGTACACACATTTCCAGGGGATTTTGGGAATATGCAGTGGTGTGATGTGGGGCCTGGGATTCTGAATTTTTAACAATTTCCCAATAATGCCAACACCAATGCAAAAAGAACACTCCCTGATGCAGTTTCAGGGGACCCTTGGAAACGTACATCAACAAGGAAGTCCAAGAAAACATTTGGGAGCCATCACTTTATAGGTGGCCAGCAAAGCCACAAGCCTAGAGTGAGAAAAGGGCTAAGAGCTAGGAGGGATACAGACAACTCAGAGATGCCCAAGAAGGATTCAGCAAGACCAACATCTGCAGGGTTGGACAACTGAAGGTCTCCTCTCCCACCTGACATGGGGAGTTCAGAGCCCGATTACAGTGAACTGAGGAGGAGCATGTTGGATGTGGAGCATGCTAAGTATCTACTTTCAGGGCCTGGAAGAGAGTAAGAGGGTAGAAGCTAAGGGAAGGAAAGACACAATGGTAGAGAAGGGGTCTGTTGCTTTTTTCTTTGTTTCCATCATGGAGGAAAAGATCAGCAGGTTCACAGGTATAAGAAACAGGGCAAACAATAACCAAAACAAATCAGCTGCTGTGTAGTACATTAGAAGGATGTGCTACGGAAGAAAAGAGAAACGAAAAGAGGAGGTAGCCAAGTCAGGAGCACTGGAGAGGAGGCACAGGGCTGCAATCTCAACGACTGTGGGGTCTCAGAGAGGAACACAAGGGCAGACCGGAGGAAAGCACAAGTGGGTCTCACATGCTTGGGAAATGCAGGAAGGCCAGGGGCCTGGAACACAGCGCACGAAGACTAAAGATGAAGTCAGACCTGTCATCCTGCCCCTTTGGGAGGCTGAGGTGAGTGGATTGCCTGTGCCCGCGGGTTCAAGACCCGCCTGGGCAGCGAGACCTCCTCTCTACGATAAATCTAAAAATCAGCTGGGCGTGGTAGCGCATGCCTGTAGTTCCGGCTACTCGGAAGGCTGAGGCAGAAGGATCGCTGGAGCCCAGCAGGCGAGGCTGCGGTGGCCAGGAGCGGCTGCTGCACTCCAGTCTGGGCGACTGAGTGAGACTCCAACTCAAAAATAAATAAATAAATAAATATATAAATAAATATATAAAGATGAAGTCAGAGACCTCAGTCAGTCTTTAAATAAAACAGCAAATTAATTAGAACATGAGAAAAATAAAAGTAATTCAATTAAACTGTGATTAGTCAGATCCTTGCTGCTTTATTATTTTTGCCTCCAGTAGTGATTGGTCTTGTTACAAGCACTCTCCTTACTACTCTCAAAAAATCCACATAAATTGTACATTACTGTACTATGAGGATTAATTAAGTTTAACTTATGTAAATAGGACTTACTCGCAGTCGTATAAGAGGCTTCTCTGGTTGTCGAGAATGTCCCAGACGCTCCCGTTCGGCACTTTCTAGCATTGTTTCAATCTCAAATAAATAAATATTAAAAAACAAAGTTTAGCTTAAATCGGCTGAACAGCAACTTATATTACTAACACAGAAACTTTCCTGAACTACACAATCACCTTTATTTCCTAGGTCATTTATAAGACCTTTTAAATATACCTTCTCGTAGTACATCCACTAATACCACTCCTTAATGCTTTTCTTCCAATCTCTAAAGTAATTCTTTCAGAAAACTGAAAGCATTATTCCTGCTCCATTTTCTCTTCATGTTTCCACAAGATTTCCTTCATCTTATCAACTTAAAACCAAATAAATCAAGTTGTTTTAGCCATACCATCCATGGGAGACTGACCAGAGTATTTAGGGCTCCATAACCAAAGAATCTTGGAAGAATTCAAGTTAAAAGAAAATAAAAGCAATTGCTTTCAAATATCTGAAGTTGTCTTATGCTCTAAGAGGACAAAATTATAATATCTCAGACTTGAAAAAGATCTGAGGACAAAAGCACTTCTATATTGTTCTTAAGAAGAAAACCAAGGCACAAGGATGCAGTACTAAAATCCTCTTCACAAGTGATTTTGTGCACAGTGGCTAGATACCTTCATGTGGCCAATGTCACAGATGAGTAACTCTTGTTATTAGAAAGTTCTTGTGTTGTCCAGAATTGTAGCCCACATCTTTAAGTACATAAAAAAAAAGAATGTTCTTGTGTTGGAATAAAAACTGCCCCCTATAACCTAGTTCTGACCTCAAGAACAATATGGAGTAAGTGTTTCTGTCCTCACATCTCTTCCATGTCTAAGATTTTATAATCCTGTCTTTTACACTATAACAATGCAGTCCAACAAAACTTTCTGCAATGATGTTTTATATCTGCATATTCAATATGGCTTCCATGAGCCACCTGTAGGTGTGGAGCACTTGAAAGGTGTCTAATGCAAGTGAGGAACTGAATTTTTAATTAATTACATGTAAACAGCCATGTGTGCTAGTGACTACCATACTGGACCCACAGACCTGTAAGAATATGATCTCCTAGGTCAATTCTTCAATCCAACAAGCATTTATTTATAGAGCACCTTTTTGCCAGGTACTACATCAAGTGCGGAGATATAATAGTAAGATACGGGCCTGGTCCTCAAAGAGCTCAGAAGAGACTCACATGCTTCTAAGTAATAACATAACTAAGTATAATAACCGAAATGTACATCAAGTACAGAGATAACAGAAAGCTGTGTGTACCCCTGGGGCTTAAGCAGACTTCTGTTACTTTCGTGTCATCAGAACCCACTTTCCTCTCTGAATTCACATCCCATTCAAGCTCACAGGATGTAGGTGGAGCTGACCCCATGAAGCTCAACCAGAGGGGATTCTGCCCCTCTAGCAAACGTTTGGCAAAGTCTGAAAACACTGGGAATGTCACTGACTGGGAAGACGAGGTTTACTTGGCACCTGGCTGGCAGAGGCCAGGGAGGACATGGCCAAGCATCCCTTACTGATAGAAAGGCCTCCCCCGGCAAATACTTCTCTCGTCCCAAATGTCAGCTGCGCCCAAGCTGAGAGACTGGGCTGACTCCAAGGAAGGGCACGTGACTCAGGCCTGAACGCAACCAATGCAAAACCAATCAATGCACTCTACAGCTCTCCAGCTCGAGAGACTGGGTTAGGGCTGTACCGGTTTTAATCCAAGTGTGAGTTTCTGGAGTCAGTCATCTTGAAGTCCGCATCTTCTTAAATGCCAAAGTACTGCGAGCTACACGTTGCTCATAAAGCTGTGACACTGAATGGCTTATTCATCTAAGGTTCGGTTCCTTGCATATAAGATGTGGATGGCAGAGCCTATCTGTCTGTAGCACAGCTGACTGGATTAAATGCTGCCAACAACGCACAGTACATATCATGAGGCAGCCAATATTCTTAATCATAGTTATTGTTACATGAATTTTTACAAGAATAAAATGTAAAGTAGAAAGCTGACAAAGAATAAGAACTGCATGTCGGCAATTCACATCATTCTGCTATCAGCTTACATATTATTAAATGCATTCACCCAACCTCTACGGTGGCTTCAGACTTTCTCAGAGGCCTAGCGGTGGCAATTTGCATGGAAAAGGAGGTATGGAATTTAAGCTAAAGCCACAGGGTGCATAGCAAACATGCTTTAATATCATATTTGGGGTAGCTTTCAGCGTGAAAGGGATGCCTACCAGATTATTAGCGAGGTCAAAGCTGTCCTCATGCATCATAATATTCTCCTATTCCCCGATCAAAGTCACTGTCTGCTTTTACAGATAAACTGAACAAATTATCAAATCAGGATTGAGAAAATATTATGCATATATGGGTTTTAAAAAGTCAAGGAAGGAACTGAGCTACTTAATTAAAGCTTCTTTTATATCCAGTATTCTTCCATCTCAGTGACTTAAAAAAAAAGGGGAGGGAATCTCTGGTACAATTAAACTCATTCTCTGAACTACCATGGTTCTTTATAAGCTTCATAAGAATGGAATCAATATAAAGGTTTCCTTCTACTCTATCAAATTATTCAGTTGAAGGTAAATAATTTCTCAACTAAAGTAGATTTCACTGACTTTATCAAAAAGAATTACCTTCTCAAAACAGAAGCTTTGTATGGCCTGGGTTACTCTAGGGTTATCTGGGTTAAAAATGTCTGGGTGATTAGCCAGAACAACATCCTCCATAAAAAACTGCCGCACTGTGTGAAGAGGAATCTTCTGCATATTCATCTTCCTCCCTTTAACATGCAGCAAACCAACATGCCTAAAAAGAAGAGAGATGAGAGCCCAGTCACAATTTAAATTTCCTCAGAAAACGTGCACATCAAAACTCTCAAATTTCTGGGTTTCTATGAAGTATTTCTTTATAAAATCATACCCTTAAAAAGAAATGCTTTTGGCCGTCTGATCTTGCTACTATCACAGTAAAAAATGGTAATATTCTTCTTGCTCAGAATAAAATCCACTCATCCATTATTTTTCAAATATATTTTCAAATATCTGAAGTAATCTCATACTATAAGAGGACCAGATTATAAAATCTTGGACTTGAAAGAGATTTGAGGACAAAAGACTACACAAAATGATCAACCATCATAAATAAACCTATCATACAATTAACCTACCTTAAGCCTATGGAATGATGAGATTATTGCAGCAAAAATTTCTTATGAATTGGGTCGAGAGCCGGGCTCGGTGGCTCAGCCTGTAATCCCACACCTTGGGAGGCTGAGGTGAGTGGATTGCCTGAGCCCGCGGGTTCGAGACCCGCCTGGGCAGTGAGACCTATCTCTACAATAAATCAAAAAATCAGCCGGGCATGGTAGCGCATGCCTGTAATTCCGGCTACTTGGAAGGCTGAGGTGGAAGGATCACCGGAGCCCAGCAGGTTGAGGCTGCGGTGAAGTGGCCACTGCACTCCAGTCTGGGCGACAGACTGAGACTCCAACTCAAAAAAAAAAAAAAAAAAAAGAATTGGGTCGAAATATAGAATAATCACTTCTTTTTCTTTTCCCTCTCCCATATTAGGTACAATATTTATTATACTTATCATGATACCTATTTTTCCTTATGAGACTATATATATGTTTAGACATGCTGCATCCCTGTGACTTGGCCACCTGAAAATATTTAGTCACTATGTGAAGAGGACTATTTCTATACCCCTGTGGCATAGTTTTCTTCTTAAGAACAATATAGAAATGTTTTGTCCTCAGATCTCTTTCAAGTCTAAGATTTTATAACCCTGTTCTCTTATATTTTACCATATAAATAACAATACTGTCAAGGCCCTAAAACCATGGAATGATGAGATTATTACAGCACAGGTTTTTTTTTAAGAAATTAGTTGAAATATATAACAATCACTTACTTCTTTACAGCTTCTCCTGGAGAAAGAGAAGTAACCACTGAACTTCCAGGTTGTGATATATAAAAGAGTTGTTGTTCATTTTTGGCAGGAGCTATTTTACATTCATGTTCATGGCCCCAAATAATAAGATCAATGAAGTCATCCAAAAATTGTTCTGGAATGAAGTTTGTACTTCCATGTTTACTCCTACACCAAAATTTTGAAAAATAAATAAAATAAATTTACAGCAGTATATAAAAATTCATATTCCTTAAGCCCATACAGATCTTTTTCTCCATTCACCAAAGATCTTATGACAATCTTCTAAGAAACTTCAAGGAATTGAGAATGCAAAGATAATGAATATCTAATTCCTGATCTTGATGGTTTTCCAAACTTGCAGGACACACACAAAAGGACCCTAGAAGAGAAAGTCAACAGTTCTATATTTACAGGAAGATCAGGAAAGACTTTTACTCTTCGGTCAAGTCAGAAAAGCATGCTCTCTATCAATGATAGAAACCTATACATCAGTCTGATTATACACCCTCCCCCCCAAAATTACAGAAAATAAAAGTGAATTAAATATAAACGTGTCACTCAGCCTGTAATCCTGTGCCTTTGGGAGGCTGAGGTGAGTGGATTGCCTGAGCCCTGGGCAACTTGGCAAGACCTCATCTCTACAATAAATCAAAAAATCAGCCGGGCGTGGTAGCGTATGCCTGTAATTCTGGCTACTTGGAAGGCTGAGGTGGAAGGATCACCGGAGCACAGAAGGTCGAGGCTGCGGTGGCCAGGAGCGGCCACTGCACTCCAGTCTGGGCAACAGAGTGAGACTCCAACTCAAAAAAAAAAAAAAAAATGTGTCTAATAAAATCATGGTTTTTTTTTTTACTAGTTATAAAAATGATAGGAGTAAAAATGTCAATCTTACATAAAAGATAAGCTTTTTCTTTTTTGAGTTGGAGTCTCACTCCATTGCGCAGACTGGAGTGTAGTGGCATGCTCCTGGCCACCGCAGCTTCGACCCACTGGGCTCCGGTGATCCTTCCACCTCAGCCTTCCGAGTAGCCGGAATTACAGGCACATGTTACCATGCCCAGCTGATTTTTTTTTTATTCCTTGTAGAGATGAGGTCTCGCCAAGTTGCCAGGGCGGGTCTCGAACCCGCGGGTTCAGGCAATCCAGTCACCTTGGCCTCCCAAAGCGCTGGGATTACAGGCTGAGCCACCGAGCCTGGCAGCATTTTCAATATTAATTATATATAAGTGATTTGCAAACTGTGGTTTTATATCTAGATTAGTTATTATTAAAGATATGTGAAATCCAAGGTGACAGAAGATAAGAAGAAAAACGTTTCCCTAACATTAACTTATATCACTGGGGATTTAAGTAAAACTGTTGAAATACTTCAACATAGCATTTATTTACTCCAAACCAATATTTACTGAGAAGTTCATTCCTTCATCTACAATATTTACCATGAAGATATTTACTAAGTGTCCCAGGTTTCTCATAGATATTGAAGACACAGTATCAAACAAAGTTCTTGTTTTAATGTGGGAAACAGGCAATACAGGCTGGGTATCCCTAATCTGAAAACTAGAACTCCAACATGCTACAAATCCACAACTTGTAAAGTGCCAAGACACAAGTGAAAAATTCCACACAGAATTAACACAAACTTTGCTTCATGCACAAAATTATTTATGAAAATTGTACAAAATTACTGTCAGGTTATATGTATAGGAGTATATGAAACAAAAACGAATTTCAAATTTAGACTTGGGTTCTATCCCCAAGGTATCACATCGTGTGTATGCAAAAACTCCAAAATCTGAAGCACTTCTGGTCCCATGCATTTCAGATAAGGGATACTCAACCTGTCGTCCAGTGTGTGTGTGTGTGTGTGTGTGTATGTGTGAATACATACAAAAATAAAGTGTCAGGAGCGCAGCATGACTACACAGAATGAACACAGGGAAGACAGCAAACACAGCCAGGGAAGTGGCAGGCTTGTGTGTCCAGAAATGTTTGTGGTAAACAAACGTCTAACGTGACAACCCCTCAGAGGTGCCTTCTCTACCAATGTCACAGCCATCACTGCTGATACCTCATATCTCTGACTTCCATGGCCAAATAATCAACCCTGCGTCTTCACGTCTCTCCCTTCATCCATACTGCACCCTACCAACACAATAAAACTTCTTAAGACTACTAACAAAAGCGGGTCTAGCTACACTTCCATATTCTGGAAAAACACTTACATATATGTCTAAGAATGTTCATGACAGCAAAATTAATAGAAGCAAAAAACTGGAAGAAAACATTGACTGACAGGAGGCAAAGCATAACTGTACACGTCAATAAAAATGAATTACACTTCCACTTCTAAGCACAGAAACAGATGAATCTCAGTAATGTCAGAGTGAACACAGGTTAGCTGTAAAATATACAGTATGACACAATTACGGGTATACACATGATTAAACAATAAGGAAAAGCAATGGAATAATTAATTCAAAATTAAGACTACTGCTTCCTGAGGGACCCAAGAGACTCAAAAAAAGCTATACTTGCTGTAAAAGAAGCATTCACTGTATTTTATATATCCTTGCCTCACGTTCACTATATTTTATGAATTCTTAGTATTTTAAATCCTACCTCAGACCCCGTAGGACTAGGTACATTCCTTTGCCTGGTAGTGACTGTGATTGTAAAGTTATACAATGTTTTAAGCAGTGTGTGTATTTAAAACTTTGTTAAGCTTCTGTTTATCCCAATTGCCATGTTGGCTTCTTCTGCTTCTGCAACAGGGTGTAAATGTTAAGCAATAAGCCCCTTCCGGACACTCCTTTGCTTAGATTATGGTAGACTCTGTGGCCCTAGCCACTCTCCTGGTGGGCTCTGTGATGTTTCCAACCTCCTGCTCATATGCCAAAGTTAATTTACGCGCATTGACTGTGTAAACTTAGCTTATCCGGCATTCCACTCTGCCCGTTTAGCTGTTTCCCGTCAATCACAGGCAACTGAGCTCGAGCCCACGCAAAAACAAAAACAAACCAACCAATCTCAAGCGCCTCTGTCCCTTGACATCACCGCGGACCAGATTGGGGACTAATTATGCAAGGTTCGCGGACTTCGGTTTCTACGTCATGACCTCTTTTAATTGGTTAATGTTGTAAGCCTAGGAAAAACCAGTCACGCCCAGCACCCCCCCCCGTAATTGTGCATAAAAACTGCTTGCTATACTGGATCGGGGCTCTCAAGTTCGAGCCGCTGCATCGGTTTCAGTTTGTGAGCCCAGACTCGAGCCTGAATAAAGACCCTCGTGTGTTTGCATTGGAGCTGGCTCTTTGGTGGTCTCTTGGATTTAGAATTTGGGGTTTAACACTTCCCTCTGAGGTACAGGGAAGTCGACGGGATCAGGGAAGGGGGACAGGATAATGTACTAGTAAGAATCTACTTTTATGCTGAATTTAAGGAGATTCATTTTATGATTGCTCTTGTGCCTTATCCATAAGCCGCATTCTTACAGGTAGTAATGTGACCTCAAAACGAAGTCACACAAAGCAAATTTAAGTTTTGCCTGATTCTGCATTGACAACCTTAAAGATTAAGGGCATTTTACTGTAGGTGAGCTTAGAAATAGATTTGAGGAACCTCAGTACTTGGCTCAGAATTTTTTAGAGAATACTTTTACCTGTTCTGATGAATCACAAGTAAGTTAAACCAAGAGTTCTCGTCTTCTTTTGGTCTCAACATTGTTACTTTTTTATTGACAAACATTCGATAGAGTCTTTCATCTGGAATGGATCCTGAAATGAACATCGCATTACTTTTGAAATTGTTTTCTTACTTTGGTTTGTAAAATAAATATACTTCACTTCTAAATTAGGTGTTTCTCAAAGTACTTCATTTTACTGTTTAGATATATATTTGAATTCTGCAACCACTTAAAAATAGGTATGCTCTAGGTTCTTGATAGCATTCAGTTGCATTCAAAAAATGTTTTCCATTTCAGACTTACATACTTTTAAAATCAGTACGATGTGAAATAAAAATGTGAGTTTCCTATGCTTAAATACTTTTTAAGATTTCTAGCAATACTATTTTTAGCTTTGCTATATTATAAATTATAATATATATTTATAAGTATATTATAAATTATAATATATATTTATAAGTATATTATAAATTATAATATATATTTATAAGTATATTATAAATTATAAGTATACACATTATAATATGCAAAAATAGGCTTAAAATGAATGATAAAAATGTTTTAAAAACAATAATCTTAGGTATATCATTTTAAAATAAACAATATTGTGCTTTTAAAATAATTCAGTGACTTGCAACTAAGTCTTCTCATATTCCATAGGCTTGCCTTGGTCTGGTCAAGGACACCAATAAAAACAGGTCATCAAAATAACTACAAAATGTTATCAAGGGGAAATAGCCAGGATGCTGTGATGGAGAGTAACAATGCGGGTTGGGAGGGGCGGACAGTGTGGCCACTTTATATGATGATTAGAGAAGGTCTCAGAAGAAAAGCCAATCATGTAGAAGGAGCTACAAGTAGCCTGGTTCTCACAGAGAGCTCCCCAGGTATGGCCAACAGAAGAGACAACGGAGGCGGAAGGTGGAACATACAAGTGGAGACAAAAATCTCAAGGCATACCAAGCCCAAGGCATCGGAAAACTAATCTACTGAGGAGCTGAGGTGCTGAAAACACCGACAAGGATGAAGGCAGGCAGGCAAAAGCTGTGAGAGGACAAGGCAGGCAGTCTAGGCAGAGGCATGAGCTTCAGAGCAGGGTGTCTGCAGGAAGGGAAGAGGAAGAGGGCAGAGCAGGAAGAACAGCAAGCCCTCTTCTGCCCAAAAACCCCGGGGAAGGGAACTGGGCGGGCGGTGGGGGGATGACACACAGGACCATTGGGACCAGTGGGCTTCCCGGAAGGCAACATTCAAAGAAGAGACGATGATAGAAGTAATTTATTAATTATAAGGAGTTCCAGAATTTACAGCGAAGGCTTGAGGTGTGGGTAAGGGTGGAGGGTGGAGACAGAGTCCAGTTAAGAAGGTGGAACAGGATGAGCTAAGAGTTTGGGAGAAAATGGAGCACTGAGGAGATGTACTTCTGGTGGTGACTGAGGCATCACACAATCTGACCTTCGTCTGAACACAGAAAGAAAAACCATTTTCTGGAGCCATGATCCCTAACACTGCAGTGATTAAAACCACTGTAACTGACTTTTTTAAAAAGTATATTTCACTTCCTGCTCTGTCATTCGCAGAATCAGATGATACCCAGGTCTCATTTTCCATATCTTTAAAATATAAACAACCACGATACTTTTCTACTTCCAAGAGACTGTGAAGGCTGGGCAAAGACTATAAGTAGTGTCACCTTAGACCTTTCAAAGACTTCCAAGATATCAGAACGTGGCTTTGCTAATAATCAACAATTCTAACATTCAGGATTCTATATCTGAGTCTAAAAGAAAAAAGTCCGAAATAATAAACAGATAGTAAAAGAAAAATATTTTTTCACCAAGACTGCTATTAAAAATTAATATCTACTCCAACTTTCTTTTGATTAAACAACAACAAAACCAAGTATCAACTGTTACTGGTTCTTATTAACTACTAAAAAATGTTTACCAAAATCTTCTATGATTTTTTACAATCACCAAAAAGGAATCATTAGATTGGCTCATTATTTTTCCAAAATTTTATTTTGGAGAAAATTCCTCCAAAACTTCATTCCCCAATTGCTTAAACATCTATCGACACAAATAAATAAAACCAACTTACCTAAACCATATAGTGCAAGTTTTGTGCTTCCTTTTTGAAGCAAAACTGGGCTGATATCGATCTTTTCCACGGACATTGAACGTCCAAAGTGATTTACAAATCCAGCACAACTTAAAATATCCAGGGCACAGAGTGCATCTGCCTATGCAAAATAATTCAAAAGATATTAATGTGTCGACAAAAATAAGTGATCTGAATGCATATCCTATTGCCTATTAAAAGCATAATCCATGCACTAGTGACAAAAACAGAGACAAGCACCCTCTCGAAACAAAATTACAATAGTAAAGTATTTGCCACTTCATTTTTCTATTGTAAACCATCTACAGCACATGGAATCATCCAGGAAATGCAAAGTGAACATCTCATCAGAACATTTGATGTCTTGGCCACTAAAAACTAAAAATCAGCCATGAAATAAATGCTTTGTAATATCAAGCGGACCTTTTAAAACCTGGGGAAAAAAGACTGTAGGTAATTGACAATTCATGATATTAACGACCACATGAAACACAAAGACACTTCGCCTTAAGGATTGCTAGTCTACTTCCATATCAAACAGGCAATAAAATAATCGAATTTAGGTTTAAAGAGTTTCATAAAACAGTAATTTCTTGCAAGTGAGATTTTTGCAAGACAGACATAAAAGCACTGGTAAACTGCAAAACACTACACAAATGTGCAGTGTTTATCCCATCTCCTAGCTACTTACTGTTAACCTCAGCACTAAGAAAACAAAAGCACAGCTCATACACCAATTCTTAACCCAAATTTTTTTTAAAAAATCTAAAAAGAAGTATAAAAGTTTATATGAAGTCAATCTGACTAAAATTGCTGGAAAAGGGGGAGGAATAATTTCCACAGACCAGTTAAGCAGGTCATTTCCAAAGTGTCAACAAACTATAAGAAAACAATAATTAATTACCCCTGTGGGATCATCGTGGTTGCCATGGATACTGAACACTGGAATTGAAATGTTGAGATTGCCATCTTGGTAGTTCACCCACGGAAACCTTCAAACAAAAAAATTAAAATACCTTAAGGAACCAAAGTTGTATTCCCAAAATTTCTCCTCTAAGAAATCAATGCAATCATGGGCAAATTTTATGATCCACATTGCCAAATGACTACTAGTTTAGAGCTTTACAAAATAAACCCACAGGCAACAATTCATTTCAATTAAACTCTGAAAACATCTCGAAACACTACATTTTAAAGAAAACTCTACTACAATAAATGGTGCTTATAAACTATATGAAACAGTAGCATATCTGATTAACAAGAAGCTAACAGGCCTTTGAAATTTTAAAAACCTTTGTGTAAGGCTTTTATTTGGAATGGGGAAAGGAGGGAACACACATGAACAGCAGAACCCAGAAGGTGCAGGTAAAAACTCCCAGCTCTGTCACTTACCACCTACGCAACCTCCAGTCTCACGCCGGCTCGAGGCAGCCAGTTCCTCTTCTCAGAGGCAAAGAATGCATTCTAGTGCATCCTTGTAAAAGGTCTCATATTTACATCAGCCAACAAGTACATCTCTTCCTCCTTACACAAATGGCAGCACAGTATTTATGTCTGCATCCTGCTTTTAACACTCAGCATATTTTAGAAGTCGCTCTACCTTAGCATGTGAAGAGCTTCCTTCTGTTCCATTATATAGATTACTATGGTATTTGAGCAGTTCCCTACCAATGGACACTCAAATGCGTCCAGTCCTTTGTTTTCCAAAAAATGCTAGAGTAATCTTGTACAGTGAGTAATCTTGTTGCCCTTGTGAGAGGAAATCATGTTAAAAAAAAAAAAAAACCTGAAAGGGAATTGTTGGGTCAAAAGTACACACATCTGTAATTTTGACAGCTGCTGCCAAATTGCCTCCAGGAAGCTGTTAAAATGTATACGTAACACAAAGCAAAGCACAAAGGGGACAGTTCCCCCTTCCTCACTAATGTAGTATGCTATCAAGCTTTTAAATCTATCCCAAGTGGCTCTCAACCCTGTGAGCATGTGAGAATTATCTTGGGGACCTTTTAAGACAGATCAATGCCCAGGATACACATGGAGAGACTCGAAGTCAGGTGGCCTAGAGACTGAGCATCAGTATTTTTTAAGATTCTTAAGCAACTGTCCTACACACTCAGGATTCAGAATCAAGGATCTATGCCAACCTGATAGGAGAAAAATATTTCGACAAAGCTTTATTTTGAGTCTTCCTTATGAATAAGATGAAACTTCTTTTAAATGTTTAAGTATCATTTTATTTCCTGTTCTGCCAACTATGTCCATATTCCTTACCTATTTCTTATTAACTCATGGATTTACAGTCCGGAAACAACTATTTATTTGGGACATTCAGCCTTAATGTGCAATGAGTTGCAAATATTCTCCTTGAATGAACTGACTTTTGACTTTGCTTCAGGCAGTTCTTGTGATAGACATTTATTTTTACAAAGACATTAAATGTATCAGTCTTTTATGGCTTGTGGGTTTTGTATCATACTTTCGGAAAAGACTTTTCCACATCTAGATTTTTAAAATATGTCTAACAGTTTTTTCTAGAAGTTCTATTAAATAATCCATATTTTTTTCCAAGGTGTGAAAAATTTCACCAAAAACTAAATTCCCTATGCATTTGAGGCTATTTCTGGAGTTTTTATTCTCTTTCACTTGTCAATTCACGAGGCATACCACATTTTTAATTGCTGTAGCATCATATTTTAAGACCTATTGGGTTACTCATTTGTTAGTAGTCTTTTCAGAATTTCCCTGTTTTGAGTTTCTATTTAAGCTAGTAAAATGGAAGATGACATTATCCAGAATGCAACACAGAGATAAAGTTATGAGCTACATATTAAAAAGAGAGATATAAATGATATTTAGAAAGGAAGAGAAACAATGTTTGAAAATGCAATCAATAAGAATTCCCCAAATTGCAAACTTACTAGACTAAAATGCAAGAAGCCCAAGCAGGAGAAACAGAATGGAATCCACAGATAAATAAGAATGCAAATGCTACAGACACCAGGAAAATCGTACAGCTGCCTAAATGTTTTCTCATGCCAGTCACTATTCTAAGCAATCTTCATTCCTATTAACTCAACCTTCACAACAACTCTCTAAGATTGGCCTGATTCTTTCCCATTTTATAAGTGATGGGAAGTAAAGCAATTAAGTGACTAACCCAGCCTTGTAACTATTACATGTCAGCATCTGATCTCAGACCATCTTACACCAGAATTCATGCTCTTAACCACTGTGCCATACTGTCTTCCCAGCAATTAACAGTAGACTCCTTAAAAGCAACAGAAAAACAAGTTTACCACCCACTGACACTCAATGAAAAAAACTACTGAAAACTGCACTTCAGGAAGAAGGAAACTGAATCTAGGCAAAAGGAATGAAGTACAAGAAACAACAGGAGCAAAAGCAGGTAAGCATGTCTCCAGGGCCAGGGAAGCAATTTAAAAACAAAAGGCAGCTTCAAAGTAAGATGAAAGAACAAAGAAAACACTCAAGTTCAATGACATCAGTCCTACATTTGAACAGAAGAAGGGTAGAGATACCCATCAGATTTCTTAAAAACAAAGGCAAATGTGAATGATTACAGAGATCTCTTAAAACCCAATTCTATTCTCAGCCAAACTATCAGTCAAGAGAAAGTTAAAAGTAGAAAATTCCTTACAGATAAAACCTCAAAAAAATTACCTCCCAATATAAACTCATTTTAAAAAAATAGACAAGAAATAAACATGGTACATCAATTATCACAAGTCAGTATGTATAATACACGTACTTTTTAGCTCTATCCACTGTGAGAGCCTAAGTTTCCAAGTCCCACTCTTCAAAAGGAACCCCAGCTCCTTGAAGAAAAATGGCTGAGTTTAGAGCTAGGGAAGAGAAAATGCAGAACTAGCCTAGACCATCTTACCGTGGAAAGACACAACGGATGTGGGGCACAACAGAAGGACATAGGGCCGACCTAAAAGGAAGCCCAACTGCTGAAGATGGACAATTTGAGCAACACGTATACAGTTTTAAGTTATAAACCAAAGGAAAAAAATAAATTCCTAATGATGTAGACAACTGAATAAATAAATAAGTAAATGGAGGAACGGGGACAAATCTTCCTTACAGAAGAATCCCAATTCAAAAATGTAGAAAGAATATAGAAAATAAAAGATCACCATTAGAACATCACAGTTTTAACTGCTGTGGGTGAGATCCACTGATGAATGCTAAAGTTAGGAGATACTTTAAGGAGAAATAACCTCAAAATATCTCCCTTAAAATATTTATGAATTACTTTGGTTGTTTTAACTTACGTCCACAAATTCTTTGACATACCTCCCGCTGGAAGTGAAGCTTAACTCCCCTCCCTTGGAGTACGGACTGGATTTAGGGACTCACTTTTAACAAACCACTTACGGTGTTCCGCAGAGGCTGCCCTGGAGCACTTCTCTGCCCAGACATCATTATGCAGCCACAAAGAAGAACAAAATTATGGACTTCACAGAAACCTGGATGTATTTAGAGTCTATCATACTTGGTGATTTATCACAGAAACAAAGTACTGAGTACCATATGTTCTCATTCATAAGCAGACCCTGGATATTTACCATAATACTTTAAGAAAGGGATTGGCAGTAGCTGGAAACCACCAGGGGAGGGAAGGGGGGCACATAACATCATTAAGGGTAGCTGACCTCAAACCAGGCGAAGTGGGGACCAGAGGGAGGCCCAAACTTTACCTGTAAAATGACCACTTGAATACCTAGTCCTGAACTGAACCCCACATCTTTAAAATAAAATAAATTTTTTAAAAAGAGAAAAACCACGTACAGAAAAGGAAAATAACAAACTTACACTGGAAAAACCTGGAAGACACTACCTCACACCCGTGATCAAACCAGTGATCAAGGCTAACATCGCCTGTGATAAGTCATGTTAACGTCATGACCCTCCTGATACGATGCTGTCTGAAGAGCACTTCATCGCTGGGTTACTTTCTCCCCAAATCAATCCATAATCCCAGTCTAATCATGAGAAAACAAGAGAAAAATCCAAACTGAGAGATGTTCTACAGAACACACAACTACCACTTTTCGAAAGTGTCAGAGCCACGCAAAACAAAGAAAGAGAACTTGACACAGGCAGAAAGAGACTAAGGAAGCATTTTAGCTAAAGGCAGTGTGGTATCCCTTGCAATGTTTAAGGAAAGACATGACGGTATCTCTATAACATGAGGTTCCAGATTAATTATCACAAATAATTCAAAGGTACAAACTTAAGGAAACAGAATGACAGATTTGACTACATAAAAATAAAATATTTCTGTCAACAAAAAAGTCCACAAAGTCAAAAGACAAGCCACTAATTAGGAAAAAATATATATGCCTAACAAAAGTTTCGTAAATAGATTAACTTCTGCAAGTCAGGTAGGAAAAGACCAAAAAAAACCCCCCAATTTTTAAACTAGGCAAAGGATATGAACAGAATAGGATACCATAACGTACAATAAAAACCTGAGAAGATAGCACCATTATTAATTAGGGAAATAAAAAACGATGTACAAAAAATTCAAAGAACTATATTTACTATGAAAATAGCTTATAGTGAAGATAAAATGGCTAACTGTGCTTCTAAGTCTTACACAGAAAATATTGCACAAGTAATCATTCACTCAATCACACTAATATACTTACTTACTAAAACCAAAGTTGACTGACTGATCGCTGACAATTTCAAACTGTACAGGACGATCACCCATACAATATTTTCTTAATAACTCGAGGCAGGTATGTAACGTTTTCCTTGAGGGCTTATTTTCATGAAAAAGATCACCACCTAACAAAATAAAATCCACCTAATCAACAGAAAATGGTGTTAAAATTAGTATGTTTTATAGGTAAAATCTGTTAAAAATACACATGAAAAAGGTAGAAAAAGAATCTCACAAAAGACACTATTATGGTTTAAAATTTTGCATTTTAGTTATTCAAAGGGCCTTTCAATCTGGTGGTTAATCTGACTCCAATTTAGCCCGGACTCAGGCTAGCCAAGGTGACCATATTTCGTATTTTACTCCTCAAATCAAACAAACATAGCATTTCAATAGGATATATGGAAGAGATGGCAAATGCAACCCAAATTCAAATCATTCAACAATTACCTGCAGAGTTCCCACAGTCAAGGGCAGCTAAGGAAACAGCAACCTAGGAAATGGATGATGCCCCTCCCCTCATCAAATACTGACTATGTACGAGACCCTACCCGGGATCCCAGGCACACAGCGACAAGCAGAATATGATCCCTGTCCTGGATATGCCTGAGCTCTGAGGGAAGAGACACACTGCCATGCAGCACCTAAACATAGGCCAGACTCTGACATGTACTGGAATGGAGATGTAAACAAGCGCAGCAGAGAACGCACGACCATGAGCCTGATGGGGGAGGACAATCCAGTCCAGGAGGGACGTGCCAATGTAACATCCGAGTTACACCACAAAAGACAAGTGAGGTTCTGAAGAACATTTGAGGAGCAGCTCAGTGAAGGAGGAAAAGCATACGGGAAGAAGTCCAGCATGCTCATGCTTTCAAGAAGGATACAGTGTGCCTAGGACTTCAAGAATGAACATGATAGCCGGGCTCATTGGCTCAGCCTGTAATCCCGCGCCTTTGGGAGGCTGAGGTGAGTGGATTGCCTGAGCCCGCAGGTTCAAGACCCGCCTGGGCAACATGGCGAGACCTCATCTCTACAATAAATCAAAAAATCAGCCGGGCGTGATAGCGCGCGCCTATAGTTCCAGCTACTCGGTCGGCTGAGGCGGAAGGATCGCTAGAGCCCAGCAGGCAAGGCTGCGGTGGCCGGAAGCGGCCACTGCAATCCAGTTTGGGCGACAGAGAGACTCCAACTCAAAAAAAAAAAGAATGAACATGATTTGAGTAAAGGAAGAAAACTATCATTACCAAAGGCATAAAAGAAACAAAACAAAAACAAACAAAAAACACACTGAGGAGAATGAGGAGTTGTTGCCTAACAGGCCTAGCTTTTGTGAGATCAAAGAATTCTAGAGACAGGTCACATGGCAGGCAGTGGGATGCACTTAATACCGAGCAGTCTACTTAAGAAAAGTTAAGACAAATTTTATATGTTTTTGCCACGATTAAAACATTTTTAAAAACTGGCTCGTGACAACTCCAGGAAACACCGAGACCACCACAACTCACTTTGATGTTCCTGCCAAAAGTGCAGACTCAATGTGATCATGAGGAAATACCAGACATATCCAATTTGAGGAACATTCTATAAAATAACTGGCCAGTGTAGTCTTGATAATATCAGAGACATGAAAACAAAGGACTCTGGAAATATACCAGATTAGAGAAGAATGAGACACCACAAGTAAATGCAACATGGAATCCTGGACTGAGTGCTGGATACTACCAACCTGCCCCCAAACTGCTATTAAGAAATATTACCGGAACAACTGGCACCATCTTAAAAGTACGTAATGGTAATGAATTGATATTAATGTCCCGGTTTTGACCTTGCGCACCGCAGTCACACTCAACTGACTCTCGTGCCTCTGAAGTCTCAGCATGGGGCTACAGTGGGTTATGCAGTGAAGACTGAGAAAGCAGGTAAGAGATGCAAGCAACGAAAATAACAACAGGACAAGGTAGGAGAAAGAAATTTACACTCAGCAAAGAAAATGTCTTAGGGCCTGGAGTCAAAAAAGAAAGAACACATGCAGGATGCTGGGAGGACATAGACCTCCTCTAGCTACATGCTTCTTGGCCCTTAGGGAAGGAAAAATCCATCTTCAAAGGAGACAGTAACAGTCCTTCCCTCTTTCTAAGCAAATTTTAAAGAGTATCTACTGCTTTCTAGAGCTTTTCTAGGTGGTAGGATATATCACAAACACGCAGAAAAGATGTTCACCCTCATGGAATTTAACTTCCAGTGAAGAAGACAGACCATAAGCAAGATAAACAATTAATAAATTACTTCAGATGACACTATACAAAAACACGCTATGGAAAAAAATAAAGCAAAGTAATGTGTTAAAAGCATGCTTAGAAGTGTCAGGAAGAACTCCAAAAAAGTAAAATGTGAACGATGAACTGAGAGGTTGGACCTGCCACGATCAACGTGCCCTAAGCAGAGAGAACCAGCCACGCAAAGGCACCAGAGCAGAGAACATGCCAACGTGGACGCAGCACCGTAAAGCAGGCAGGTACAGGGGAGGGTCTCCTGGCCGCGGTCACACGGGCCCTTGCGTTTCGAGCTTCGTTCAGCAGAAGGCCATTTGAAAGATACGGAGCAGCACCGTGACGTGATGTGATCATTTTAAAAGTTCACTCTGGCTGCCACGCTGAATGAAGGTGGGGAAAACAGAAGGAGACCAGTGGGAGCTACAGCAGTCCAGATGAACTATGATGGCAGCTTTGGACTAAGTCTGCTGGCACGAAGACACAGAGGGCTGAGAGAGGTTCCACATACATCCGGGAGGAAGAATCAAAGGCTTTGCAGCTGCAGATAAACTGGACAGAACTCTGCAGAAAAGTCCAGTTGAAGACGCTAATATGCAAGTTGCCAGCACTTATATTTATTCCCCAGCTCTCTCTGGGGCTCTAGATGGATGCTCCAATTGCCCCCAGGAACTTTCCCCTGAATGTCCTACAGGAATCTCTAACTCTAAATGTGTCTAAATCAGAATTCCTCACCTTGCTTACTTACCTATTCCCAACATCGGTACTGCCCTTCATCCAGTCTCAGCACACTGCAGTCCCCGTCCTCTCCCTTTCCCTCATCTCCACCCTCCAGAACTAATCCAAGTGCGCAAATCCGCTCTTTGTAGTAACTCTTGAATTCACGTCCTTTTTTCCTTCCCGGATGCCAGCACTTCAAAAAAGCCTCAAACTGATTCATGCTGTCAGAGACTTTCTACAGACCTGGGTACCAACTTGCCAATCTGGCTCTGGAGGCCCTCCCTAATGCAGGTCAAGCCCTCATTTCTAGACTTCCCGCATGCTGTCCACACAGGACTGCTGGTCCCCTTACATACCTCACACTGTCTTGCCTATGCCCTCGCACCTGCCTCACATGGAGGCACTCACTCTCCGTTCCTCACCTATCAGGTCCACCCCTCCTCCAGTTAAGCACCACCTCCTTCACTAAGCTCATCTTGCTACCCTCACCCAACATGACCTGCTCCACCTCTGGTCTCCCAGGAAATGCTGTTTATAATTTCCTGTGGCTCTCACCATGTATGACCTTGCCTCTGAGGACCATGGATATCTGTCTTATTTCACAGGCTAGTCTGCCTGTGTGTACCCTGGAAGTCATCTTTATTTTTTTATTTTTTTTTATTTTTTGAGTTGAAGTCTCACTCTGTTGCCCAGACTGGAGTGCAGTGGCCGCCCCGGCCACCGCAGCCTCGACCTGGAAGACATCTTTATATTTCAAGCAGACACCGCCCCAGTATCCTACACTCACTACACCCCATGAACATTTGTACGTTTTAACATACCATTTACAAAAGTCGCTCCTACTTGAACTGAGGACACAAAGCACACTATCTGCCCTGCGTTCTTTGCGTACTGACATTTAAGCAGGTGAGGCAAGCACCTGATCTCACAAAACAAATCTCTTAACTTTAGAAGGAAAAAGAACCTGTTGACTAAGAGAATGCAGTGAAATTGCACAAATGTACACCAAACTCACTTCATTTTCCTGGGCAAGTCTTAAAATTTCATCGAGTGTTACAAATGTGTCATTTCCTCTGACTGCATCTTTCTCCATAAATCCAAGATGAATATCCGTGGCTACTAAGATTTTAAACGTACTTTCATCATCACTGTATTAAGGAAGAAGAAACATTTCAACAAAATGCATTAAAAGGACAAACTGAGACCTAAATTTACAAATAATAGCAGTTATACAGTAAAATGTTTCCAGTCTTAGGCTGTCCGAAAATTTGAAGTATTCAACACATCATTAACATAGCTTAGTTTTCCTAACCACTAATTCAATACAGAAAATTTTAAAAAGGTTCTGCAACTGATTCAAAAATGACTAACCTTGTTAAACCAGTTTTACAAATGCATGTGGAACCTGGCCTGTAAGTTTGCTTGTCTTTCCTCTTGTTTCACAGCAAGAACCCAAGATGCTTTGACCCTGTAGCTAAACTTGTTATCTGATTTTGCACTTTTCCATGAAAATCAGAGTTAATTTGAAAGACTACCTCTCAGTTTATAAACAGATTTGATACTAATGAGCTTGTAACTTACATTCAGTCCTGAAAACACTTGCATGACTCTCCTCACTCTAGTTAGTTCACCAGTAGCAAATGTGTTACAGAACAATTCTTTCAATTCAAGTGAGGCGCTCCTCAAGGTACTTTCATGTGAACCAGCAATCTACTAGTTATCTTACTCTGAAACCTAACGTAACTTGTTATACACACATTATGTGCTGTTATAACTATGCTCTCATCTCTGCTCTCACAGGTAAGAAGGCAGGCACTCTTTCTGAAACGTGAGAAGGCTAAGCACAGACAGCCCAGCTGGCCACACAACCAGCGGCAGAATCAAAACCCAGATGAAAACTCAGGCTACGCTACGTCCACCAAGCCATGATCAACTTCAAGAAAAAGAAAACAAAACTATTATGTCTCTAAATCCAAATCTTTGTACACAGAAGGTATTTCCAGAGAAGCTTTCTCTTCAAAGCTTCAAGAGTGATATGCACACGGTTCTGACTGCTATGTGCAAACAGGCAGACGGGCATACTCTCCAGATCACACGCTTCCGCAGCGGCACAGTCCCCTCGCGTGAGTTCTCCGTGAACACTCACGAAGACACTGTTCTTGCAACTATGCAACCGGAAGAACCGAGGCGCGGGGTCGGAGAACTGCTGATCTGCCCGCCGTCACTACTGCCAGCACCGACCAAGGACTTGAAGCCGGGGCCAAAGCTCCGCCCGACGCGGTCTTCCCTGGGCTTCTATCTCCACGACACTCGCATTCTCGGCCAGACCAGCCCACCCCGGAATGCGGGCGACCTGCTCCCCACTGTGCTCGGACAAGGCGGCAGCGACGGAGAGGCCCTCCCGAAACCGAAAGCCCAGGCCGACGGGTCACGGCCACAGACCGAGGCCCGCAAGACTCGGTGCACGGCGGCCCGAGCGTCCCCCGGGGACCAGCGCCGGGCCGGGCAGCCAGGCCTTCCGTTCACGGGCAGCCCCCGGCCCGGCAGCGGGGCACGCCGCGCTCTGCCACGGAGACCACAGCTCCAGAACCCGAGGGGCTACCGCGTACAGAGGGTCCGCGGGGCTCATGGTCGCGGCCGGCCTCCCTCCCGGGAAGCGCCGGTCCTGGCTGAGTCCGGGCAGGTGGGCGGCGTCCGCGTCCTGAAAGAAACAGCGCCCGCCGTCAAACGCGCCCTCGGAAAGCGGCCCCGCGCCGTCTCGCCCT